AATGTACATGAAACTGTCTAATCCTTTGATTAAAAACCAAATTAGTTTGGAGAAAAGAGGGTGAATTGGGGTGTAAATGGAGTTTCTCCTCGCGTCAGAGGACTGAAGATTGGCTAAAGATCTCGCTCTCAGCGTCTGACTCACGTCTTACAGGCCACAGCGTTTCTGACAGAGAACACAGTGTCTGCGCTCGGCTTTCATGTGCCCTAGTTTCAGCACAATCAAACCCAAGCACTCCACTCAGAACTACTAAAAATCCCAGATTAAAAACCACGAACAAGCAGACAAGCTGAACGAAGCTGCGTTAAACTCAGAAAACACGCACACACACACAAAAACTGAGGAACATGTTAGTTCTGCCTTCACTATGCTATAGTATGGCGAAAAGTCCTGTGTGTGTATGTGTATGCACACACATATGTGTATATATTTTATAAAATAATTGTATATTATACATATGCGTGACATTTATACCTTAAACATCTTACACTTATTTTGAAGATGTAGTGTGTATATGCACACACACGCACACGCACACATTAAAACACATACATATTAAAATAAATGTCACCTTAAATGAAATATCATATATAAATATAAAAAATAAAAAAAATAAAATAAAAAAACTCGAAACTGAAATTAATAAAAACTATATTGACATATTTAAAAATGACAACTACAACATCAACAACAAAAAAGCTAACTAATAAAAATATTAAATAATACTAAAATAAACTTTAAAATACTATATAAAATATACAATATTTTAAAAGCTATAATTGTAAGTAATTAACATTTAAAAGTTATTTCAGCTAGCTGTCAAACCAATTCACACTCACTTTAATTTAGTTTAACTTGATGTACTAAAATAACTGAAATTAAAATTAATAATAAAACATGTGAAATATTAATAAAACAACTACATCAACAACAACAACAAAAAAACGAATAAAAATGAAAAACAACAAAACTAATAAAATTTTAAACAAAATGAAAATGAAAAATACAAAAATTAGAACTATTATAAAACAGACAGAGTATATACCACTAAATTGTTAAAGAGGTCATATGATGCGATTTCAAGTTGTTCTTTCTCTTTGGAGTGTCACAAGCTGAGTGCATAGATAAGATCCCTGAAGATGCAAAGACTAAAGTCTCAAAACCAAAGAGATATTCTTCATCACAGTTAAGACTCTGCCACGCCCCCCTAAAACGGCTCGTTCTAACACGCCCCCACATATCTACCTCACTATGTGGACATATTTGCAATATTTGTGAAAGCAAAAGCACTTTATTTGGTCTTCCGGAAGTAGATGCATTTAGGAATCTTTAAGATGACTTACAACAGAACAGCAACGCATTTTATGGACGACCGTTTCGTGAACCTAGGAGAGGAGGTCATTCTGACTTTGCTATGACAATCTGGCGCTTCTGAATCAGCTACTGTTTTGTTATTAGTTTAAGTATTTGCTATTGACTGTTCAAATGCGAGCGAGTGAGAGAGAGAGAGAGAGCACGAGAGAGAGAGCGCGAGAGAGTGAGAGAGAGAGAGAGAGCACGATAAAAAAACTCGAAACTGAAAAGAGAGAGAGTGCGAGAGAAAGAGAGAGAGCGCGAGAGAGAGTGAGAGAGAGAGAAAGAGAGAGAGTGCGAGAGAAAGAGAGAGAGCGCGAGAGAGCGAGAGAGAGAGTGAGAGAGAGAGGGGGGTCACATCACAAACACATACCAGCTTCATCACTGTGTCTGTCACGTGACTCTGTTCCCCTTTCGGGCTCTGTCTTTACATTTATTTTGAAAGATGAAGCTGGCGATTATGGTAAGAGGCGTTACATTTCCGACGCGTGCTTGTGGTGTTCGGCCAATCACAATGCACTGTGTCAGCTGGCCAATCAGAGCAGACTGCGCTTGTCGGCAGGAGGGCTTTGTAGAAAACGAAGCGTTTGAGAGAGGCGGGGCATAGAGGACCTACAATAATGTACAGTATTTGAAAAATAATGCGATTTTTGAACATTAAAGCATGTCAACATATTCTGTTACACCAAATACACAAAATAATGATCTTTAAAAAAGCATCATATGACCCCTTTAATTACCTAGAATGCTGTGTGATCAACATCTGCAAACAGCTAAACTCAACACTTAACTGTAAAACATGGAATCTGTGCTTAATGTTTCTATAAAACTAGTCAGTGACAGATTTACCGCGGTATAAACGGTAGCTTCCACACGCCCAGAGCGAAGATGAAGACTATATTCAGCACACATTGATTTAGGCACAAGCTGTTCTGTGATCGTACATTAATACGCTCTGCGGGAGGTTAATTCACATGTTAAACCGCAGCTGAACACAGACTGATTGGGCTTATAGGCTTGACACAGGTTAAAATGAAGGTCTCTCATGTTTACCGGCGGGATCTTCACTGGATTGGTTTACATGCACAATTTTAGCTTCAATCGGACTGAATTCATTCCGATTTTATGAATCTGAATGTAGTGTTTACATGAGCGCTAAATAAAGTGATCGGGTTGATGTGCGCGTTTATATGTCACCAGCTTCAAATCAGAATTGATTTTTTTTTTTTTACACGCGCACACTGCACAAATATAGAGTTTCCCACTGTTTGCACATAATAACCATACTCTTACACTAAAGAGCAGAATTAATATTATCCATTTCTGGATAAATATTACATATAGACTGCTGTGTTGCTTCTGCGCAGTCATTTCGGTTTCGGTTTTCAATCCGATCGAGTGTTTACATGCGCTCTCCATCGTATTAGAAAAGGAATAAACCACTGTAAGGGCCAGTTTCACTAACAGCCTGCGCAAGCACAAACCATCTTTTGGCGTTAAAACAGTAACGTCAGGATTTACTAAAGATGCACAGTGATGAATTAGCTCTGAAAAGGCGTGGACCCAGTTATTTTTGCGCCTGACCTTATTGAAAATGCATTTGTAGGAGTTTCCCTTTCAGACACAATTTATGGGAGGAGAGTATTCAAATTAATCCAACGCTATCTCACGGCCAATTCGTACATATTTTACGAGGTGGCTAATTCGTACGACCTCACTCGTACGATTTTGTACGACGTGTCTAGACACCAGTGACGGGCAGGTTTAGGGGCGGGGTTAGGTGTAGGTTATTCGTACAAATTCATACGAATTGTGCAACTCGTAAAATACATATACGATTTAGTCAAAATTGTATGAATTTGTACGAGTGAGGTCGTACGAATTAGCCACCTCGTAAAATATGTACGAATTGCCGTGAGATCGGGCTGATGCGTTTTACTAACGTTTGCGATGGTCAAATTACTAGTATGTGCGCCATTATTTAACGTCCAAAAAAGCATGCCTTATACTATTTTGCACTTGAAATGGCTGCATGTGTTGTTGCTAGGAGGAGGCACGGCAGAAAATAAGTTTTTTCCAACATGTATTAATTTATTTTGAATGCCAGAAAGAACACATTATCCGAACATATATTGTTTGCCAAGACATGTTATTTTGAATTCAAACTTCTTTTCAACGTACTGTGGCTTCTTTACTTCTTTATTTGCGACTACACTAATTTGTGCTGCACTTGGTATATTGCGTTGGTCAATATGTAAATGAGATGTTTTGTGTTCTTTAATTTGCGCGTTGTTAGTAAAACACCTGCAGAAATTTTCCCTCCCATCAGCGCTGTTTTGGAATTGCGCTCTCGAGCTAATTCGCCCTGTTTAGTAAAACTGGCCCCAAGTGTCATAAACCAGAGAACAACCTGGAGTAAAGCTGGATGGGTCGTACCTCAGCATGGGTGATCTGGCGGGGTGAGGCGGCGCGTGGTCTCCGTTCTGCGGCTGCTGTGGTTTTTTGGTCACCTGTTTGTAGATGTTTCGTGCCGTGACGCCCAACCAGAGCATCGTGGACAGAGACGAGTAATGCAAGACAATACCGACCTGAAACACACACACAAACACACAGTTCAGTGGTTAAAGTGCAACACACACTGATACAAATCCAGAAAAAACACTGACAGAAAGTACTGTTTCAGCAGCATCTTCGACCATGTAAAATATTTAGGGTCAGTAGGATTTATCAAGAGCGTAAAAATTTATCAAAAGTGAGAGTCAAGACATTTATGATGTTACAAAAGATTTATATTTCAAATAAATGCTGTTCTTTTAAACTTTCTATCCATCTGTGAATCCTGAAAAAACAAATGTATCACGGTTTCCACAGAAATATCGTGCAGCAAATCTGTGTTCAACATTGCTAATAATCAGAAATGTTTCTCGAGCAGCAGATCAGCATATTATACTGATTTCTGAAGATCATGTGACACTGAAGACTGGAGGAATGATGCTGAAAATACAGCTTTGATTATGGGTGGGCGATATGACCGAAATCTTATATCACGATATGACTAATTTTATATCACGATAACGATATATATCACAATATAGTTTTTTTCTTTTAAAAAGGTTTTTATGATATTAAAATCTTTGATACCATATCATTTTCATAATCCTTGTCACCAATGTCAATATCAAACTAATACAAGCTTAAAAAGAGAAAAAAAACAACAAACTCAAGCTCACTAAAGATAAATAAACAGTCAGTGATGAAATAAGGATAAGAAACTAACTGCAAGCAATACGACAAAAACTACAATAAATAAGAAACGCTACATACATGGTGAAAATGAATTAGTCTTCATTGTGATTGATCGATAGACAGACATATGGATAGATGGATGGATAGACGGATGGATAGATGGATAGACGGATGGACAGATGGATAGACGGATGGATAGAAGGATAGACGGATGGACAGATGGATAGACGGATGGATAGAAGGATAGACGGATGGACAGATGGATAGACGGATGGA